CTGAAGGGGGAGAGGGGGGGTTAATGCTTACGGGCTCTTGGGATCTCGCGTTAGAATTAGAAAGTGTTAGAATCAGAAGGTACTAGAAATTGGTGTTAGAATCAGGTGTTAGAATTTGGTGTTAGAATTAGAAGGTGTTAGAGTTTGTTATAATCTGGTGTTGTTAGAATGAGAGGACGTTAGACTCTAGCGTTAGACTCAGAAGGTGTTGTTATAATCTGGTGTTAGAGACTGATGTCTTTAAAATTAATTGTTAATATAAGTGGATGTTACAGATTAATTATTTTACGATTCGATGCTACACTTTGATTATGTTATAATTTGATGTTCGAATTAGTGATGTCAAAATCAACTATTTCTAAAACTAGAAAGGTGTTATAATCAAATACTGCGATTGGAAATTGTTGTTAGTCATAAATCTTTAGAAGCAGACATCATTCTTCGAATTAGAAAGGTTGTAACATCTACAAACAAAATCACATCAAATATTGCTTTTAGAGTTAAGAAATGTGTTACAGCTAGATATAATTGGTAGTTTAAGAACATTAAGATTAAAAAAAAAGGCGTTGTTAACTTAAAAGTCTGCGTTGTGGTATTTGTGGTCGCGGTTGTGGTAATGACCGTGACAAGGATAGTATTGTCATTATTATTGACAGTCATATGATATTGTCGCTGATTGTTATTCATGATGAATGATGTGAATGAAAAGGCAAATATGTAGATGAAAAGTGCGATATGTGTGTGCGTGTGTGTGTTAGTGTCAATGTGTGTGTGAGTGGAATCATAATAAAAAAATCAGTCTTATAAATTGTTTGTTTTTGTTAATATTCATAATGGTCTGGAAAAAAATATCTAATAAGATAATACATTTCCATCAGCAAAGTAGTTTCCACAATTTTTTTTTTCATCATGACAGTATTGTCCCTATCCATTCCCTTATGTATATACTATATATATACCATATATATAATATATATATATATATATATATATATATATATATATATATATATATATATATATGTATGTATGTATATATATACATACACACACACATATATATATACATATATATATATATATATATATATATATATATATATATATATATATATATATATGTATGTATGTATGTATGTATATATATACATACATATGTATGTATGCATATCTGCATATATGTATGTATGTATTCAAATCTGTGTGTATGTATGCATATCTATCTATCTATCTATATATATATATATATATATATATATATATATATATATATACATATACATATATATATATATATAAATATATATGTATATTTATATATCATCTTCGCTTAAAACCAGCACATAATGCCTAATGCCACCACAATAACAATTCAAAAAACGCAAACAGATAAAAAGTAAGGACGAGAGACGGCGATAATTCAAGGTGATTACGAGAAGCTAAACGATAATAGCAAAGATGCTTCCTAAACCTGCTAGTGAGGGCCGCAGAGGGTTTATGTGCGCGCGTGTGTGTGCACTGAGGTCACAACTGGAGGAATAAATGATGTCATTAGAGGCAGTGATGGAATAATTAGTGATTCCGAATGCATTTATCAACAATTGAATTACGCGACGCGCGGCAGCATTGCACTGGCTAACCTTCTCTCTCTCTCTCTTTCCTCTTCTCCCCCGCCCTCCCCCTCCTACTCGATTCCAGCCTCTGATCGCAGATTAACCTCCCCTCTCCCCTCTCTCTCACTCTCTGTCTGTCTCCCCTCTTCCGACTCTCCCGCTGGCTCTGCTCGTACGCCCGGCAGCGGTGCGAGCTGGATGGCGGCCTCTCCAGTCTGTGTCATTTGAGTTAATTCCAGAGTCGAGTGTTATACTCTCTCTTTCTCCCCTGCTCTCTCTCTCTCGCTCTCTCTCGCTCTCTCTCGCTCTCTCTCTCTCTCTCTCTCTCTCTCTCTCTCTCTCTCTCTCTCTCTCTCTCTCTCTCTCTCTCTCTCTGCCATTTTTTAGGGAGAGTGCAATCATTCTTCATATCCTGCAAAGTTGTGATCTCCAAGCTCTCTCCTAGGAATCCTCATACTAATGTCTATCTAATCATCCATATAAATATATCTAGTTATTCTAGTTATCCCTGTATCTTCTCTCCAGAATAACCTGCTTTACACACCCTCTGTACCGCGGCGCGACAGCACACATGTGATTTATTACAGCCAAAATCACAGCCATCCGTGAAACAGAAATTACCTTGGAAACTTGTATATTAATTTCATTTATCTGTCTCGTTATTTATATGCCCACTTACAATATGAATATAAATATATATGTGTGCGTGTGTGTGTGTGTGTGCGTGTGTGTGCCTGTGTGTGTGTGTTTGTGTGTATATGCGTGTGTGTGTATATATACGTATATATGTATGTATATTACATGCATGCGCTTATTTCCTTATCCTCCTCATTTTCTCTTTCCTACCCCCACCCCCCAACCGCTTTTCCTCCTTCCTTCGCTCTCCTGCTTTTTGCTTTCCTTCTCTCACCTCTCCTTCATCTTCCCCTTCCCTCATCCTCTTTCCCACCTTCCCTCCCTCTCTTTCATTTCTTCCTCCTCCTCCTCCTTCTCCTCCTTCCTTTCCATCCTTTCCTCCTCCACGTCTTTCTCTCTCCTTGCCCTCCCCCTCCTCCTTGCTCTCCTTCCCCCCTCCCCCCCTGCCTCCCTTCAGAGCCCGGATGCGCCTCCTAATCGCCCCGCCGGAAGACTGTCAGCGCCGCGACCTCTTTTGCGAACAATGCAATGGAAAATAACCAGCGCGGGTATTATCGCAAACTGCTCAATTGTACGAAATCCCCGCCCATAATCACGCCAATAGGATTACGAAATTGATACATAGATTGATCTCCTACTCCCCGGCCCCTCCCCTTCCCCCCCTCCCCCTCCCCCCCCACACACACCACCTTCTCTCTCTTCCCCTCTACTCTCCACCATTTCCTTCCTCTCGGATTTCCTTCCTCTCTCTCTCTCTCTCTCTCTCTCTCTCTCTCTCTCTCTCCTCGCTCTCTCTCTCTCTCTCTCTCTCTCTCTCTCTATCTCTCTCTCTCTCTACTTATCTATCTCAATCTCACTCTCTAATTTTCACCTATTTTTCTCTCTCCCCATCTTATCTTCCTCCTCTTTCTCCCCCTCTCCTTCTCACTTCTCTCATCGCCTCCTTTACCTCCTCCTTCTTCTCCACTCCCTTTCATCTCCCTCTTTTCCTCCTTCCCCATCCTCCCTCCTTCACCCATCGGATGGGCCATAAGGTCGAGAGTTCCTTTTCAAAAGCCCGACAGCATAGGTCTTCCAGTCCGGCCAGAGCGATAAGCTGTAATTTTTGGTGATTAGTGAAACCAACTGGAAAATCTTATCGAATCTTAACGCTCAGCGAAAACATGATTTGTGGTCGCTTGCGAGGCGTGGAAGGAGGGGGGGGGGAGGGTATAGGAGGGGTGTACAGGGTTCGTGGGTGGAAGGGGGGGGGTAGGGAAAGAAAGGAGAACTGGAGAGGAATGAAGGGATAGAGAAGAGTTAGTGAATATAGTATCTATCTATCTATATTTATATATAAGCACACACACAAACGTACACATGAACATTTATAAACAATAGACATAACAGTAGTAGAGTGTTAAATTTATCAGAAATTAACACCCATACACGCATACGCGCGGGCGCGCGCACGCACTTGTGTGTGTGCATATATGTGCATTTATATATACATATATACATATGTATATGTATATATACATATGTATACATACACACACACACACACACACACACACACACACACACACATATATATATATATATATATATATATATATATATATATATATATATATATATATATGTATATATATATGTATATATATAAATATATATATATATATATATGTATATATGTACATATATATGTACATACATACATACATATATACATATATATGTGTGTATTTACATATGTTTTTATATATACATAATATATACATGTGTATGTATGTACATATATATACGTATATATACATATATATATATATATATATATATATATATATATACATATACATATATATACACGCACACACACACACACCGACACACACACACACACACACACACACACACACACACACACACACACACACACACACACACACACACACACACACACACACACACACACACACACACACACACACACATATATATATATATATATATATATATATATATATATATGGTAGAAAAATCCACAATGCAAAACTATATTTACTGAAAATGAATCTATAGTTTCGAAATCCACCTGGATTCCATCTTCAGACCTGAAGATGTAGTCTTATTTTCAGTACATCTAGTTTTTGCATTGTGGGTGTTTCTACCATAGTATCAACACGGAAATGTTTTACCATTCCCACACACACACACACATACACACACACACACACACACACACACACACACACACACACACACACACACACACACACACACACACACACACACACACACACATACATATAAATACATATATATATATGTATATATATGCATGTGTATGTGTGTAAACACACATATGTGGACTAAAAGAGCATAAAGAAGATAAAACTACAAAATCACTAGAATCAGAACGACAAACCATCATATAACAAAAAGAAAAATACAAAAAAAGAACCATCGAACCAGCCATGATAAAGAGCCCCGGCAATAACAATAACAACGCAACAACCTAATTATCTTCATGATAATAACGAAACTAATTGACTGTTAAGAAAATCAACAACAACAAAAAAAAAAAAAGCGGGAAAAAAATGCCAAAGGCCGACATGTTCGGTGATGACACATGTTAATCATAACGATGCATTTTCCAATGGATTAAATTGGTTTATCGCATAATTATCTTGCTTACGCCGTAATTATATTTGACCCCTTTTTTGCCTTTTTGGTATAAAGGGATTTCGAGATGTGAAATACTGATAC